TCTCTCTCTCTCTCTCTCTCTCTCTCTCTCTCTCTCTCTCTCTCTCTCTCTTCTGTTTTTCTTACTCTTCTTTAATAATCTCTTCAAGGCGACACAATGACAGGAACAATTTTCCGCATGAGTTGATTGTGTAGAAATCCAAGAGTGGCTATGACATCCGGAGTCTGTGAGGTACAATGAAAACTCTATTGACGGTTCACTCCTTTCTGAACTTTTCAATCTAAAATAGAGACATTTCTAAATCGAATTTTCTGTCTGATTTCTTTGGTCAATGGAGCTAACATATTCGACAAACAGGGAGCATCACGCTGCATGGTTTTGTCTTCCCAATCTAGGACTTTGCTACGTCATGTAATGAGAAAAAAGAGGTCTCTTAACACTTAATATTGTTATACTGAAGGCTACTCCTTCTTTACGCAGCCAGTTTTGTCATCTAATTTTTCATCATCACAAACTTCCTCATAACTCAGTTCCTATTTAACGTATTTGCATACAATGATTTTCAAATTGAGAAGAAATGAATTATCCAAGCAGTAAACATGCAGTTTGATTATAAGCTGTTAATAACCGAGTGATGCTGTGATCTAGCTAAAATGGCTTGCCCTACACTAAGAGCTAAAGAATCATTCTCTGTCTAAAATTACTGATTTGCAGTATAGAATCTTGTATCAGGATTCTCTTTTGGCATAAACACGTACAATAGAACCTACTCCACGGGCATCTGTCCAAGACAATCGCCTGTACAAACGACCTATCACCCCTCCCCCTCCCGCTCCCTTGCTTTTTCTATATCATAGTGACTTTGTCCAAGACATCCATCTGTCTAATGGGTGGCTGTCTTGGACAATTTCAAATGAAGTATCACTTTTGAGCGTGGTTTGTTTGTTCCAATAGAGTACTTTTTAAAATCAAATAGATCTATCCCGTATATGAACCACACTGATAGTGATGGATACTATAGGCTTCAATTAAGAGATACTCCTGTCTGACCTGTAATACAATAGCTCGGATGACAACTCTTATGACGGGGTTTCCTGATCAACTGACTTAAAGGTAGAATATTTTCTTTTCTTGCATAATTGCTTCTGATTGATGATGCTCGTCATTCGGAGGCTAAGATATCCTTGACTTCAAAACACTGAGAGCCGGTGTGGATTTGGGGTGGGGCGGTGGGTGCGGAGATGTATGGTCAGGCTTGGGTCCGCCCATCTTTGCCCAGAAATATATGTTGCAATTGCGGTAAAGGATGTGTGGGGCTGAACTAGGCTGAAAGATTAGGATCGGTCTTTTCTCAGCTGACGTCTCTGTACCTACTTCTTGTTGTTTCTAATTAAAATGCTGGCTTCGTCCAGTCGCAGTGTATAGCCGTAGGCATCAATAGTAACTGTGGCATTTTGTGTTTTGAAGCTTGTGGTGGAATGCTTCTTGGTAAATGTGGACGTTTTCTGTTTTTATTGTCTGAACGCTTTTTTTTGCTGTTGACAAAAGTTGTCCAGCATCCATTACTATCTCCTCGCTTTAAAAGAAAACGTGATCCCTTTTTTTGTTGGTCCTCAACTCCCCTGCACTGAAGCAGAACGCAAAAATACAACAAAACGCAATAATTATAACTTTGTTACTAGAATAGTCAAATACGTTGACGCTGTCACACCGTTGTCAGGGAGAATGTAGCATATTCGATCTCGCAATGGTTGTACTACCCTACTTTCAGCATGCTGATAGAAAGCTTTCTTTGTTTCCCACGGCATTATCCTCACCAGTCCTACTTTAACCACTGACTTAATGCGAGTGAATGCATAATACGAGTATAATGAACTAATTCAGTACGATAACCATAGTGTGTGAATAATAACCTACCCCCCCCCTCTCCCAAATCTGTTACCTTAGAGGATGTGGAAGATAGGAGGAGGGTGGGGCAGGTTTTGTATCCAAGCGGTGGGGGGCTTTTCTAATTATATCATGGCAACTTTAGCCTTTTTGGAAAAACTCTGCGTTAATCCAATAGAGATGTTGCGGACACTAATATGTCCGATCAGAAGACCAAAGACAGTATTGCGGCACACTTCGAACCATCATACTCAAATCTGAAACACGAATTTGCATATATCATGGTATGTATATTATTGTTGTCTGCCTTTCTAAGTATCGCATGAAGAAAACAGTATTGGAAAATCTGAGTTTATTAGGGAGTTATATTTCTTTTTCTTAAAAAGTGCCCCAAGATAGCGCGTCTTTAAGTGTTGTCTAATTGGTACCCCAGAAGTACAAAGTTCTATCTGCTCAGTACCTAGTTAATAGAAATCTAACTTAAATATTTTTTATTTCACATGACGTCAAGCTTTTTCGAACGCAATTCTTTGAACAACTTCATAACGACACCGATAAATCTTACGAATTTGATAGAGCAGAGAGAACATTTGGTTTCTGACATCTTGGTCTTAGTAACTCAAAACGGCCAATAGTGGCAGATAGAACTTTGTAATTCTAAGGTATCGCAATGGCAAGAATGCATGACCTCAACGAGTGGACAGTTACCCCTCCCCCCAATTCTTAGGTCCTTGCGCCTTACTCTACGTTTCTATGATTTGTGTGGCAGTGAGTCGGCCTCCCATAGCCCTGTCCGGCAAGAGGTACGTCGAGCAAGGGGAGCCAATCCACTTGTTTTGCAACACGACGGGTCCTTTGGGCGATCACCTCAGCATTGACTGGTTCAAGGACGGGGACAAGATCGACTACAGCACCTACAAGCACATCGTCATCACGAACTACAATGTGGTGGAGACCAAGTGAGTGAACAATCTAATGTGTCTAGTATGATGAAAGAGAGAAAGTTGGGGGTGGTTGGACGGTAACACTGGTAGAGTGTTGCGTGTCTTTCCTTGCATGTTTCTGCTGTTTCTTTCTGTTCGCCTGGCTTTCTCCCATTAGACCAAGTGAGTAAATCTACGGTGTCTGGCATGATGAAAGAAAGAAAGTTGAAGGTGGTTGGACGGCACCACTGGTAGGTGTTGCCTGTACTTCTTTTCATTCCCTCTTATGTATCTTTCTGTTGGTTTAACTATCTCCCACCAGACCATGTGAGTTAATTAATCTTCGGTGTCCAACATGATTAGAGGATGTTGAGGGTGTTTGAATGGCACTACTGGTAAGTGTTGCAGGTACTTCCTTTCATTAGTTTCATGTCCTCTGCTGTTTCTTTCCTTTCGTCTACCTAGATCTATCTACAACCTGATCAGGTGAATAAATCTACGGTGTCTGACTTGATGAGAGAATGCTGAGGGTGGTTGAACGGCGCCACTGCTAGGTGTTATAATATGTATTTCTTTCAATTTCCTCTGTTGTTTCTTTCGGTCCGTCTATCTCCCACCGCCAAGTGACAGTTAATGTGCCAATGTGATTCTCTTCAGTCAAGAAGACAAAGCAAAATGAAGTAAAGTGGGATATGATTTGTTGGGTGAGGGACGATGCACGTATTTCTGTGGTTATTTTTATGTAGATGTTTTTTACGCTTCCAACGATACAATTTAGACAATTAGGGGGCGGGCTTCCAACCTTGTCTGTCAAGGACAGCACAGGCTGAGAGGAATATGAAATTCTAACTGAAATATCGAGAAACTCGAAAAACAAAATTGTCCCCTCTTGGGAATCGAACTCGGGTCTTCTGCATGCGACAGCGATGGGCCCAGCCGCTCCATCACAAACGCCACGCCAGTGAAGCTCATGCGCATATCGGGAGGAGGGGGAGGGCGACGGGGAAGGGTTAGGGGCTATACCTTCTTTTAGAGGCATAACTAAGGGTCACGGCTCTACAATGACCGAATCAACAGCTTTCAAACAAATCATCCATTTCCTCGTCTGAGGCGTGTCCGCCTGTACCCTGACAGATGGGATTCTAGGCTGATTGGGAGATCCAAGGCCCACAAAAGACGAGAAACTGATGGCAGATGTCGTCGTCGGATACGATGGACTAGCGATGTGGGGGCGTACGTGCGTGTGAATGAGTATCTGTTTGCGTATGAGAGTTGTGTGTGTGTGTGTGTGTGTGTTTGTGCGTGTGTATGTGTGTGTGTGTGTGTGTGTGTGTGTGTGTGTGTGTGTGTGTGTGAAGGAGTATCTATTTGTGTGTGTATGTGTGTGTGTCTGCGTG